GCTGCATCAGTTGCTTTCCTTGCAACAGTGTGGGAAGACCTTGGGCTGTGTTGATTTTGGCTCATAGCTCATTTGGGCAATTATTTGAAAATGAACAAAATGGAAAAAAAGGGTATTAGGCTGGTTTTGGCAAAACTTGATAGCAACAAACACAGCCTCCCATGAGCATGGGAGAGTGTGAAGGCTGATGAACAAAAGCAAAACAACAAAACCATCTTTCATTCTTTGGAAAAAATGTTCAATGTACCAACTTTGATCAATGATAACTTTGTGCTCACAAATCCAATTACTTTGATATTGGACTCAAATGAAAGAGGGCATGGAGTAGAACAACCTAAATGCTAGAGTTATCTTGATTTGAGGATTGGAAGATCATGAAATTTGTGGTTGAAAATCGTGGCAAGAAAACTGCTCATGAATAACTTAGAAAAAATTCTAAGTTATGAAATTGGATTATTTTTTCCCAACTTTGCACATCCATAACCCGAGCTTCTCAAATCCAATTGAGGACTTCTTGTACTCTTTGGAAAGCTTGGAACACACTCTACAACTTTCATTCGGGACAAAGTTTCATTTGACATCAAAAAATCCAATTACTTTGATCTTGGACTCAAATGAAAGAGGGCATGGAGTAGAACAAACTAAATGTTAGAGTTATCTTGATTTGAGGATTGGAAGATCATGAAATTTGTGGTTGAAAATCGTGGCAAGCAAACTGCTCATGAATAACTTAGAAAAAATTCTAAGTTATGAAATTGGCTTATTTTCCCCCAACTTTGCACATCCATAACCTGAGCTTCTCAAATCCAATTGAGGACTTCTTTTACTCTTTGGAAAGCTTGGAACACACTCTACAACTTTCATTTGGGACAAAGTTTCATTTGACATCAAGAAGGTGATGAAAATTGGCTTGCAAAGTGGTGCAAAAATCTGCCCAAACTTAACAACTTTTGAACTCATTGAAATCTCCAACTTTGATTGATCATAACTTGAGCTCCAAATATCATATGATCATGAATTTGTACTCAAAAGAAAGCTTGCGATACAAGGAAAAACTTTGATGTTGGCCAAAGGTTCATTTGAAACCTTGATCATGAAGAAAAATGGCTTTGAAGATGGTTGTTCCAAACATAAAACTTTCCAAAAATGGAAAGTTTCTAAAACCTTAATTCCCAAAATGGCAACTTTCAACAACCTTTGATTTTTCATGATTCCCTTGACTTTTCTTGATAAAATTCCATCCATTGTTCATATTGAAATTAAGGATCATGATATTGACTTCAAAAAGTCAGGAGTTGACTTTTCCACTGCATAGTTGACTTTTCTCCAACTCTCTTGATTTTCAATCAACTGATCAACTGAAGTTCTTCTGATTAAAATTGATGGTCCAACTCTCATCCCCAAACACCTTAGGACATATGGAGGGCCATGTAAACAAGTTTTCTTCAAGAAACAAGTTTTAACCCGATTAAAATTGAAACCCTAATTCCAACCCTTTTTGCCTAGGCATTGTTTAGATGAACTGAGTGACCATTTCCACTCCACCATGACCTCTGAGGTATTCAACAAAGTTCTACCTCAAGTTCATACTAATGATAAAACCTTATGGACCCCTTGACAACATTCTGAAGGTTTGTACCAGTGCCTTTGCTTGAGCTTGAAACCAATAAAGACTTTCCTCTTGGATGGTACACAGACAAACACTTGATCCCCTGTAAGAACTATGTTATGCAAATGCAAGAATGCTAAAATGCAATGAAACATAAGCCAAATTTTAAGAAAAATGTTGGTCAAATTTTGGGGTACAACACTTCTGTCCAAGATTAGAACCCACATATGAGAGGGAATGAGAGTTTTGTAGGAAACTTTAACTTCCATCCTACCCGATTTTCTTGTGTTCCTTATAGAGGCAAACTTTTGTACCTAGTCCATTATTAGTACAATAGTTATCCATTATATGTGGAGGCTTTGATCCCATGTCATTGCATTCATGTCATCATATCATATTGTAACATACATGTTCCTTTATTTCCAGGAATCTTATCTTTGAATATTGTTATTGAGTCTTCCTTAGAGATGGACACTAGCAGAAAAAGTAAGATTGGTTACAAGTTCTAAACACCCGCTTTGGGTTCCCTTCATGACTTGGATGTCTAGGCTACTTCAAGAAGTATGGAGGATTTCAAGGATGAGTTTGGGAAAATCTTGAATATTCTTTACACTCTTATCACATCTTTCGAGATGGGTTTCGTTCATACTTTGCTTCAGTTCTACGACCCTCCCTTGAGATGCTTCACCTTTCCTGACTATCATCTAGATCCTACCTATGAGGAATTTTCTCTTATCTTAGGGATCCCAATTAATAATCAGGCGCCTTTCTATAGTTCCATGAAGGATCCCAAGTCTTGCCAGATTTTTGCCGCTCTTTATTTGAGCAAAAATGATGTGGAAGCTAACCTTAAGGTTAAGGGAGGCCTCTTTGGATTTCACTTTAGTTTCTTGGTGGGAAGAGCCAATGTCCTTACTGATGCCTATAGTTGGAATGCTTACAATGTAATCTTGGCACTTTGTATTTATGGGATCGTCCTCTTTCCTAACGTAGCAAACTTTGTAGACATGAACATAATTCGCATCTTTATGCTGAAGAACCTAGTGCCTACTCTTCTTGGTGATGTCTATCATTCTGTGCATACTAGGAATGAGAAGAAGAAAGGGAGACTAGTTCTTTATTGTGCTCCACTTCTCTACAAGTCGTTCATGAGCCATCTTCCACGTGAGGGTGCTTTTATAGACACTAAAGACTCTTTGAAGTGGTCACAGAGATTGATGATTCTTACCGCAAAAGATATTGTTTGGTATGATATGATATTGGATGGTGTTGAGATCCTTCACAGCTATGGAGAATTACCAAACGTACCTCTAATGGGAGTGAGGGGTGGTATCAATTATAACCCATTTCTTTCTAAGAGACAATTGGGTTTTGCTTTGAAAGGTCAACCAGATGATAAGGATGTTGAAAAGTTTGTTTTTTATAACATAGTGGAAAATCCTGAGTAGATGGAGATAGTCGTGAATGCTTGGCATAATATTCATTAGAAAGGAAAGTCTTTCTTTGGAAAGAGGGGTTGTGTGGCTTACCCACCCTATGTTGAATGGGTGAAGAAGAGAGTTGAAACTCATTACTTGCCTTTCCCTTTTGAACCTCCCTTACATCCACAGGTTCCAATTCAACCAACTTTTGTGCCCATTGACAAATACAAAAAACACAAGGTTATCAATCAAGAGCTTCGTGAAGAGAACGAAGAGTTGAAGAGAGAGGTCTATAGAGCCAATCACGCAGAAAGTAAGTTGACTCATGAGGCCAAAATGAAGGATGAGTTACTGAAAAAGAAGGACAACTGAAGATAAACATGGGAATCGTGACATTTGATTCATAGGTTGGAAAGGCTTGTGGATCACTTGCCTATAAAAATTTAATGGATTCTAAATCATCACCCTCTGAAGGTGTTAAAGGCTAGAATGTTGTAGCCTTTAAAGCGAAATCCTTTAAAGGAGTGAGAGCATGGAGTAGTCCGACCTCTGAAGCTTTCATAGTTTAAGAACCATCATCCTCTAAAGGAGTCAAAGGTGGGAACTACTACTGAACCTATGAAGTCTGAAGAAGTTTCTGAAGAGTGGGTGGAGTTTGAAGACACAGAGTCTGAAGTATCAGTTTCTGTTTTGTATCACTTGGTGAAAGTTTTAATTAAAGGAGCATGTTGTGTATTAATTCAAACTTAGTTAGTTAATTAGTTACTACTTGTGTGTATATAATAACTACTTGTGTAGTTTTATAACAACTCTCATTAAATATTCATTACTCTCTCTTTTCTTCCCTTCCTCTTTAACATTCTCTCTATATTTCTCTCAATTAAACTTTCGCATTCACGAGGTGTAATAACACCACCAAACACTAAGCTCAATTATTTCATCAGTTAACTTTCTTGTTTTGTTTCTTTCTCTCTAAACTTAACAAAATAGTGTAGTTATGTTTGCGGGAATGATTCCAAGTCATCGAACTTCCCCTCCATAGAAAATTAGCTCTAAAGAAATCAACAATCGTGGTGCAGGAAACAAACATGACCCCAAAACACGCATTTTCACTAAGAGCCGAAGTGGAAGGACTCGAGGTAAAATGATCTTAGATTGGGATGAAAATTCTAGAGTGGTGCAAATTCTACTCTTGTAGAGAGTTAATCAACAGAAGGATTGGGAGAATTAGAGGAGGTAAACTCATTACTCATCTCCACCATAGTTGTTGTCACACAACGATTATTTCTAAAGTATCCCTATCTCTTTAGAGTGTTTTATTATTTGTCTTTATCTTTGTTATTTTAGTAATTAAGTCCCTCACAATAAGTTCTATTTCACATCTTTTAAAATTATTTTTTCATTAAAAATGAATTTTCCATCCATAACAGAGACCTTTAACTAAAGATCAAGGCAGGTTGATTCGAACTAATTAGTTTGTTACTTAAATAAAAAAATTGGCAGACATTATTTGAATCATGCAAGACCTTGACTCGAATTCTTAAGTGTTCATTTCCCAGAAGTTGATTTGTGAAACGTGATTTGAACCATTAGAAGCCTTGATTAGAATCATGAGCAAGATTATGAAATTAAAATTGGAAGTTGTGCGTATATAACCTATTTATCTCTCTAATCGTGCATAACATTTGATAAATTTGGTTGTTTATCGTTCACACAATGAAATCTTCCTTAAAGAAAGCTTCAAGAAAAACTTTTTTTAGTGTTAGTCTCTTGAGTGAGAAAAATTGTTTTGTGTGAGATATTTTAAGAACTTCATCTTCTACCTCAAACACTAAACAATATTGATGAGTATGAGTGTTGCTTAAAATGTGTAAGTTTTTGATGTAATCTGATTCATTAGAGAAACTAATGATTTTGTAAATGTTTATCAAGATAGAAAATCGAGTTTGTGAATTTCTGGCGATTGATTTCTAGTGAAAAAAATAACTCTTCTCCAAAGATGATTTGGTGTTTCTTACACTTGTCATGATTTGGTCCCCCCCAACTAAAATCACTTGAAAATCCCTAGTGAAATGTCCATTTACCCCACAGACCTCAGAGTAGGGGCCGCCCGTTGGGGTGGTGAGAGTTACAATAGTTATAGGTACATGTGTCGATGAGGCTACGGTAAGATTTTCAAGATTTTGGTATAGTGTGTCTACCTTCACGTTCATGTGATCAAATTGGCTAATCTCATAAAGCCCACCCTTTTGAGGGGCTTTAACACTTTTCTCTTCAGCATTTCCCCACGAATGGTGGTTCTTCGCCATATCTTTGATCGGATTATAAGCCACATCCCGTGGGTTACTCATGAGCGCTCTACCGACGGCCGTATCCAATGTTATCCTCGTAGAATAGAGGAGACTATTATAAAAGGTGTGTATTATCAACCATTTATCTAACCCATAGAACGAAACGATATAAAAGGTGTGTATTCGACCCAATATATGAAAATAATTCACATGCCATGAGAAAGTACACAATCTCTGGTTACCAATTTTACTATGTTCATCTTGAATTTTGAACTGACTTGCACATTGGAGTTATAACCATGCAAGTCCACATCACGTTGCCGTGGAGATTGAGCCACCGTTAAAGATCAACATTTATCCAACTCTCTTTATTTCTAATTCCTTTGTGGAGATAGAGTATCAATTTCTAATTTTCGAACGGAAAAATATATTAGTTAATCATTTTTAAAATAATTAATTTATTGCATTTTGATATAACTCTTTTAATTAATTAAATATACCTATCCATAAGTTATTATCTTGATTTAAGTGTTTAAGCACAAGTGATTAATGCAATTAAATTAATGGCCATGCTAACGAGTGTTTTTGAGCAGTGTTTTAAAAACCGGATCGGACCGGGAATCGGCCTAGTAACCGGCCTGGTTTACTAGTTCGATCGTCTTTGTCATCAACCCGGTAAAAACCGAGGGAAATTGGGTTGGACCGGGAAAAACCGGTTTTAATGTTGGACCGGTTCTAATGCATTTTTTTATTTTTTAATTAAAATTTAAATGCAAAAGTTATAAAAATTAAAAAAAAAAATTACAAGTCTTTCTCCACCACTGCGCAAGTTCGTTCTCTCCGCCGCAATATACCAATGACTCGCCATTCCGGTTTCTGTATCGTTTCAGATTTCCAAGTTCAATGCTCCTCTCTGTTTTCATTTAACTTTGTTCCGTTGAAATTAGGGTTCAATGCTCCTCTCTGTTTTCATTAAATTGTTGAAGATTAAATTAGGGTTCAATGCTCCTCTACATGTTTGATATTAATCTTCTGATGAAATTGTTTTGTTGAATTAATTTCATATGAACCCAGAAAGGGTTTTACATTATATGCCCATGTATTTTCTAACAAGTCAGTTCACTCTAACATTTACCATTGTGACTCAAGGTAGGTGAATGAAGGAGAGAAGATTAAAACTCTGTTACTAGAAACTGGGAACGTGTTGTTGTTATTACTATTTGCGTCTATTAACTGTTTGATGAAATGTCTCTGTGAATTTTGGTATCAGAAATTGTGCTTAACTTTAAATTGTGTATGTTTAAGGATATTGGGTTGAGTTTAGCTTAATGATTCTCTGGATTGAAAACTAAATATATGAAACTGGGCAACTGCATGTAATCAAGCTTCCAACAATGGAATATTCTATGCTCGATTAAATGTCCTTTGAATTTAAATAACAAGTTATTTACATAGTATTTTTCATAATTGGATTGTCAGTATGAACTCTTAGATCTGAGGGATCCAGTTAGAGCTTGAATGGTGAGTATGAAACTAACTCAGTTAGTTGAAGTTTGTTGAGTTCAGTTGGACTTGGAATTTCTGTTAGTAAACTGTTAGAGTTTGAAGTTAGCACTTTTGTTCAAATTTGTACTTGGTTATATGAATAAATTGTAAGGTTATAGTGAATGAAATTAGTTTTAATTAAGTTATCATTGTTATCAAAATGGCTTATGGAAATTAATTATGCAGTGAAAACAATTAGTTGAATTGAAGTGTCAGGGTGAGTCATGTTGTATTGAATCAAATTAGCACTGTCACGAAATTGAAATTAGTAGGTTTGTTATCTCTTGCATTGCTTATTGAGCCACCATGATGCTAATTAGAGTGCTATGAGACATATGAACTACATGTTATATTACTGTTAGGAGTTTATTTGAACATGAGTTTAGTGACAATTGTTGTGGAGAATTAGCTTGAAGAAAACAGTTAGAGAATTATGTTATGTTTCCATTTAATTATTGTTGTGTTAATGTGTTAGGATGACATTGCTATGACCTCTGAATTGCTAGCATGGTATGAATGAATTTTGTTATGGAAGTTTGTGTTAGTCATGGAACCCAAACTGCTATGAGTGTGTATGTTTGGAATTCTGTTATGCAGAAAACCTGTATATGGATTTGCTAGGTATGATAAATGGATGCATTGTCATGTGTGAATATGTTAAAAACATTGTTATATTATAGGCCTAGAGTGTATTTTAATGTTGTGCATTTTACATTTCACTTTGTTCTACATGCTGCAATAAGTAATGATTCTAAGTAAAGATTCTAATTGCTTTTCTGTAAAAAAAATATATTTTGTTTTTCTCAGTAGTTCGATCACAGTAGTTCTATGATAAGATGTTTAATGCTAATAAAATCTTGAACTGTTTTGATGCTAATAAGATGTTTTGATGGAAAATCTTGAACTGTTTTGATGGAAAATCTTGAACTGTTTAATGCTAATACGTGAGACTAAAGTGTATTTTAATGTAGCAATTTTGAACTGTTTTACAGGAAAATGGCATCTTCTGAAACACCATCATCACAACCACCATCACAAGAAGCTTCTTCAACTCCTAATTTAGTTCAACATAATGTTAGACAAAAGACTGATATAGCTTGGGCACATTGTACTAAAAGTCCTGATGGAAAAAATCTTGTTTGTATCTACTGTCACAAAGCGTTTGGTGGAGGTGGAATTCATAGGATAAAGCAACACTTGGCTGGAGTATTAGGAAATGTTGAAATTTGTAAGTCAGTTTCTACAGAAATTCATTTTCAGATGAATCAATATCTTAATGAGTGGAGCAAGAAAAGAAAAACTCCAGATGTGACTGAAAGTGAGTCATTTTCTGTAGAGGGGGGTGAATTGCAAATGCAAATGCACCCACGAATTAGTGCATCTAAAAAGAATGATGCTCGCATTGGTACTTATTTTTTACCCAGAACAACTCCGGGAGCTCAACCTACTTTAAAAAGTGTGATGCAAAGTAAAGAAGTGGTAGAAAAGTATGATCTTGCTATTGCGAAGTGGTTTATTGATGCGTCTATTCCTTTCAATGCTGCAAATTCGCCTTATTTTCAACCAGCAGTTGATGCTCTTTGTTGCATGGGTGTTGGATATAAAGTTCCTACTATGCATGCTCTTCGTGGTAATTTGTTAAATAAGTGGGTTGATGACGTGAAGATACAGCTAGAGCAATATCGTTCTATTTGGAAGGATACAGGTTGTACTCTTATGGCAGATGGGTGGACTGATCGTTGTAGAAGAACTCTTATCAACTTTTTAGTTTATTGCCCCAAAAGAACTGTTTTCATAAAGTCTGTTGATGCCTCTGGTGCTTCTAAAACTGCAGACACATTGTTTAATCTTTTCAAGGAAGTAGTGTTGTATGTTGGCCCAGAAAACGTTGTTCAAATCGTTACAGATAATGCTGCAAATTATGTTGCTGCTGGAAACTGAATCATCCAGTTCGATCGGTTTTATATCTATATAATGACAGGTTTATTCAACCGAGTTATCCGATTTAATCCAGTTTAGTCATGCAGTTCGACCAGTGACCCAGTGGTTCGACCGATAAAACAATGACCCAATACCCTCACCGGTTCGATGACCGGTCCGATTTTTAAAACACTGTTTCCGAGACACTCTTTAAGAATTCCATATTAAGAAATTATTCGTTAAACAAGTCAAACAATTTAATTTTCAATGCATTAATTGCATAAACTTATATAAAAAGTTACTAAAAAATTCTTAAAGAGTGCTCTCGGAGCACTTAGCATTTTTCTTTTTAAGTTAAAAATCAAAATTGGAAGAACTTAAATTCTAATTAAAATTATTATCAGTCAATCTATATTTATCTTCAAACTGTCATTACCATGTCAACGATCCATTTCACTTGAAACGGGATTAGAACAAACAGAACAAAATTATTATTATATTTTTTAGTCATACATTAATTTGAAAGTATTTATATATTTTGACCAATTAAATAATTAATTTAAATATATTAAACTTTAATTTTTTTGACTGATATTTATTAAATTAATCTATACTAAATAATTATGCTGATTTTCAAACTCTTCAATTATAGTTTAATCTATTAATTTAATTTAAATAGATTCAATATTAACTTAGTGCATTGAACATTAGCATGATTCTAGAATGAATATATATATATATATATATATATATATATATATATATATATATATATATATATATATATATATATATATATATATATATATATATATATATATATATATATATATATATATATATATATATATATATATATATATATATATATATATATATATATATATATATATATAACAAAAATCATGCACACAATTTTACAACAGCTTTGTATTAACAAACCAATGGCAGAAGCAACAGAAAGGTACACATATTTTATTTGCCTCACTTTTTTCAACTAATATATATTTTATGACCCATAAGATTCGTAATTCATACTTTAAAATAATTTGTTTTATTGGTTTCAAGGCTTGCGGTTGTGACAGGAGCAAACAAGGGAATTGGATTTGCCATATGCAATCAATTGGCTTCAAATGGTATCAATGTGGTGTTGGCAGCAAGAGATGAAAAGAGAGGTGTTGAAGCTGTTGAGAGACTGAAAGAGCTTGCACTTTCTGGTGATGTGGTTTTCCATCAACTTGATGTTACAGATTCTGCAAGTATTGAATCCTTTGTTGATTTCATTAAGAGTCAGTTTGGTAAAGTGGATATCTTGGTAAGACAATTCTTTGGCTTGTGTTTATTTTTGTTGGCTAATCTTGTCATCAACTTTTTTTTTTTTTCAAATTATCAACACTTAGGATATGTTGGGGGTGATTTTTGCAGCTAATAATATAAATGCAATAGTGGAAAATTCAAATGTCATATGAGTTGGTTGTGTTGGTAAACAATGAAGATGAACTAATGAAGTGAGTGATCCTATTACATGTTTCAAGGGGAGCTTTGGAAAAATGAAAACATGAATAGGGTTAGGGTGTCATGCCCTTTTTGGTGGGTGAATATAGACATCATTTATAAAAAAAAAGTTTAGAATATTTTATTTATAAAAGATAGGTACAAAAAATAAACTGATAGAATCATGTCTTCGTAAGAGGAGGGGAAAGATTTGACAATATTGTAACTAAGATAGAATTACATAAGAGTAATTCCATGTTGGATTGTGTACATGATGAATATATTAATTGATAATTTTTCAGAGTCGCAAGTATGACTATATGTCAGTATAAAAAAATGTATGTCTATTTCCTTTATGATTGCATCTTTTATATAGTGATCTTCGTCTGCTCCATATAATTCTTGTGTTCTCTAGTCAACTCTCTTTCTTGTTCTCGTTCTCTATTTGCTAGCAATCACAAGTAATTTCTCAACCCTTTTACTCTTTTTATCTGTTAATAAATTATGGGTTTTATTCGGGAGTGTGAAACGTTCAGGGGAATATAGAACCCCAACCCAAACCTCTTCAGAGAAAAGTAAGTTATGGAGTCAATGCTTGAAAGTTTCGAAACATAGAACAAAAATAGTAGTGGATTGGAAATTTGTGTAGAGGGAGCTGTAAGATTTTTCTGATAGTTCTTTTAGCAATAATGACACTGAATTAGTGTTTTTTCTCTTTAAATTTTGTCGAATTCATCATGGAGTTCTCCTCTTCTCTCTCAACCTCCTTAAGCGAGGATGTTCTGAATCTAAACTCCATTTATCTCGACTCTCAAAAATGATTGGTGAAGTCTTTTCGAGTAGGCCTGAAAACTATAATAATAATAATTGCATAACAATTATTTCATAATATAAATTGCATATACTAGTTGAAATTTGAATTGAAATTAAAGTGTTTCCTTTTTATTTTTCACCCCTTTTAATATATATTGATCCGTGTAAATATATGTATTTTATTTTCAATCCAACCATGTATCATCCATCTGTTAATCCTGTCATGTTGTAGCACAAAAGTCTAAAGTGACATGCCATGTCACTATGCCACGTTGCTTTCTATTTTCCACATCATTTTATTTAGATGGAAAGATAGTCTTAGAAACTAAAACAGTGAAAATATTTTCCCTGTGAATTATAGTTCTTCTGTTTATCTTAACTCAATGTAAATATTTGAAAATTTGTGCATAGGTAAACAATGCTGGAATAGGAGCACATGTGAATGGTGAGGCTTTGGCTGCTCTTGGTGTTGTGGTATGATTACATCCACCCTTTTTATTTTGTGCTTACCACAAAATTATAAATTGTTTTATTCAAAAATAAGATATATAAAAAATATGCACTATCTGTATAAATTAATATAAATTGAGTGAATTTTATTTGCATTTCTTAATGAAATGAGTTAGTGTTGAGTAATGTTAAATATATAATAAATTTCTTTCTTGTTTTGAGTTATGCAGGTAGATCCTAATCAAATAGATTGGACTAAAATATTTTATGAAAACAATGAAATAGTTGAAAAAATCCTTAGAACAAATTATTTTGGAACCAAAGAACTCACCACAGTTCTTATTCCCCTTCTTCAATCTTCTAGCTCACCAAAAATTATCAATGTTTCTTCATCTATAGGAAGGTTAGAGGTATGAATCAATACTTCTAGATATTATGAAATGAACTAGTCTAGATGATACATTATACTTTTTATTCAAAATTATTCTGGTGTAATTTTTCTGCAGATGTTGGCGAATGGACGACCTAAAGAAATACTAAGCGACGTCAAAAATCTCACCGAAGAAAAGATTGATGAACTTACGAATGAATTTCTAAAGGATTATAAGGATGGTTCACATGAAACCAAAGGTTGGCCTTTGGCAAATTCTGCATACATTGTTTCTAAAGCTGCTCTTAATGCCTATACAAGAGTTCTGGCTAAGAAATGTCCTTCTTTTGGCATAAATGCTATTTCTCCTGGTTATATCAAAACAGATATGAATGATGGGAATGGCGCTTTGACATCAGACGAAGGTGCTGAACCTATTGTGAAATTGGCATTGTTAAAAGATGGTAGTCCTTCTGGCCGATTTTTCTCTCGTGGTGAAGAGAAACCGTTTTGAGCATAAGGTTTAGTTTTGGATTGAGAATAAAATGATTGTTGAGGAATAGTATGACAATGTTTATGATAGGTTTCTACTATCTTGATGTTTTGAACAAGTTTTCATGTAGTGATGTTGTTTGTAATGTTGAAGTTGCTTTACATTCTTCTCAATAAATGTGTTGGAAATAATGTGATCATTGTCTTTGATTTGTGCAAAAGAGAATAGATAGATGAATAGAAAGTATGGACTAAAAACAATTTGTGCTTCTGGTTTGAATTTCCATGAAAGAATCAGAGTTTAGGTCAATCTTGACGAGGGATTTTCACTAGGGAGTATTGAACATTGTGAGAATTTTTCTTTTTGAACAACACCTTTGTGAGAGACACACCACATACTCACCCAAAACTTTAAGATAATAGGTGTGTGGGTTCTCCCACTTATAAATGCTCAAGTCACCACATTTCTATCAAATATGAGACTATTATCCATATTACTCACACTTATTAATACTTAACACTCCCCCTCAAGTGTGAGTCTATCCACAATGCTCCCCCTTAAACGAAAGCTTTCAATTGTGCATCTGCACCCTTGTACCGTCGTTGACACTCTTCAACGAGACACTCAACCCACGACCTGTAGGGATACTTTCGATACAAGTAAGCAGGTCCCTTTACTTGAACCAAAGGCTCATGATACCACTATTGGGGGAGATTTTTACTAGGGAGCATTGAATATTGTGAGACTTTTCTTTCTAGAGCAACACCTTTGTGAGAGACACACCACATACTCACCGAAAACCATAAAGTAATAGGTATGTTGGTTCTCCCACTTATAAATGCTCAAGTCACTACATTTCTATCCAATGTAGGACTATTATCCACACTACTCACACTTGTTAATACTTAACAAATCGAACCACTTTGTTAACTATTAGCCTTATTTTATATTTATTTACCATTGTTAGAGAATGTAACAACTATACCAATCATGTTATTGAATATAGAGTTAGGTATATAGACCGAGGTCTGCAGATCGGTCCATTGAATTGGTGGTCTACACGGATTTAAATTATATTTTTATTTCATTTAAATTTTAATTTATTTGAATTCCGCAAAATTGTAGATTCCTTCATAGCTCGTCTAAAAGTTATTTTAAAAATTAATTTTATCTTTTATGAGTTTGTTATCTTCTTTCGTATTGAAACTAGAAATAGAGTGGGTATCAGAGATAATAGTAGATCTGAGTGTTCGATGCGACAAAGAGGAGGTTGACCTTCAAGGTGAGCACTGCAACGCTCAAGTCAGTAGGTGAGGGAGAAAATTAAATTGAAATTAAATTGGAAACTGAATACCTGAATTGATGCGATTTTTATATATAGTGGAGAGGAAATAACAACCTATTATTTGTTAGATGTGAATCGCGGAGAGTCATTGGATGTATCTGGAGTTTGGATCCTTTATACTTATTCGCATCGTATCTTTTGTATGTTGAGAAGGTTCTAGAAGGATTGCAGCTTCTTCAGAGTGGTCGGTCGGAGATCAATATGGTCGGCCCAAAATAGTTACTCGCAAGCCTTTGTTTCTGTGTAACAAAGCAAGGGTTTGTCACATTAACCTCAACTACAGATTGCTCTTTCTTCTATCCCATAAGAGCAAGAGTAAGTGTTTCAATTCCTCAAGAATTCATGCCTTTAATTCCATAGACTTAATAATCTTTTGGAGGTACCCTCATTATGACCCTTGGGGGATGGAAAAATTGAGCGTTGTGTGTGAGTGATTTAAAGTGTTGATAATGTCTATTTTTTTTTTGCATGCTAGCATATGGTTCTTGAAAAGTCATCTTAGAATTCTCTAGGTTATCTTTCCCAGTTTGATGTTATCTCCTTTCTTTTGATATTTCACTTTTGTATGTCTGAGAAGAATAATATACATCATGAGTAAAAAATAAAAGAAGAACGCTCGACCTTTATGGACGGACTCTACTTATTCTTTAACTACTTATGTCTTTGCTAGTAGTCATGATGGATCCTTTCTTGATGTTGGTTCAAATTCGGATTGGTTTGTCTTGACCCCTATTGAAAATGACAGAATATGTAGCGAGTATGGTGATTCTACCATTCCTTTTTATGAATGCATCTTCTTGATCATGGGTCTTCAACTGCCTTTCAATGCTTTTGAGATGGAAGTTCTTAAGCATCTGATAGTGGCTCCTTCACAACTTTATCCCGCGAGTTAGATGTATGTGAAAGTCTTCCAGCATTGATGTGAATACTTGAAGAAGAAACATTCTATAACATGTTTCTTTCATCTCTTCAAAGTTCGTCGTGGCTCCGTGACCCGTATGCAGGGTAGAGGTTTAGTTCCCCTGGTGCAGACCGTTCGGAACTTCGGGGCTTTTTCTGAGATTTGTCACCATTTTGAAGATCGATTCTTTCTAGTTACCCCTATCCGCCTAGAGGCTCATGCAACAATTTCCGTTGCTATAAATGGAGTGGAAGGTAAATGTGCTTAGTAAGTTCCCCAATTACTGGAATGAGAGTACTTCCTAATGAGAAATTAGTTGTACGTCTACAAAGAGTAAGACCTTTACCAAAAAGAGTTGTATGTGAAAAAATGGTTGACGAGTTTTGTCAAAGTGTCGCGGTGAGAATCAGATATCAAGCTATTAATTAACTTGAACCACAAATTATGAAGTTCACCACCGAGCTTTGATTTATCCAAAGGAAAGGGTAAAGATCGAAGAAAACCCTAAGTGCACTATGTAACAACACAACTAAGAGATCTAAGGTTCGGGGGTTGGTTATACCTAGGGAAGGTGTAAGCATCCTATGTATCTGTAGTACTCTACAAGAACCTCTTGTTAGTATTTATGTTATGCTAAAGTGTGCTTGCTAAAGGAAATGTGCTAAGGTAAAGGTCTAAAGTATATAAAAATTATGTACAAAGTATGCTCACCAAGACATCGCATCTCGTGCCTACGTATCCTGACGGAAATGGATAGGTGCAAGAGGTGCAGAGTAGTTGAGAGGTAAACTAAACTCTGGCCAAGTTGAAGGTGACATTTGAATAGGTGGAGGTTCAGCGCTTGAAACTTCCTGAATGACAGTCCTTTGAGGTGGCTCTCCTATAGAAATCAGGACTTGAAGCATCTCGGTGAGCTTGATCATGCCTGATTTTAAATCATCGATCTCCATTCGGATCTCTTCATTGTGTACTTCTTGCTTTGACGTACTGCATCTATAGTTAGCTCTAGTCCGATATCAGTGTCGAAGAATCAGATTGACGACTGGCAGGTGAAACTGGAAGATAGAGACAACTAGACATGAGTTACTGGACAAACAAAGGATTTGCAATGGAACATGCCAAGATGCAAATGCAATGTGATACAAGACAGGATGCAAAACACACATAACAGGATCAAAGGTTCAAGATCACAACATGAAGTCTGGGTGAAGAACCAACCACGGGGTGTGTACTAAGGGTAAAACACCTGCACAACGGGTTCTAACAAAGTTCCCAGAGTCATTGACCCATCTTTGGGATATTATCGACACACCAATTACATGGAAATCAATAATATTCTCAAGAGAGTCTCGTCTGAGTGTAGTATCACGTATCAACTACTTTGGGACTACTCCCTCATAGTCATCGCACTACGTCCTAAAAAGGTCAAGTGGGGGTAAAAGGTAACTAAAATTCCTCGGTGTCAGAGGCTCCTAGGTCAAAAGTAGTAATGTTTTCACGAATAATCGTTCAAAAAAACTACTCCCAAGAGGGCCTCCATTGAGCGGTGATTTCTCAAGTCAGCTTGGTCGAGAATCAACTCCCTATAAGCCTTCTTGAATGTACCACCTTCCTATCATAGGTGCACTCAAGTCTTGGTATAGAACTTATTCTCCCCACTCAAGATAACAACCCTGCATACAGTAAAAAACCAAGCACAAACAAATATATGTACAAATAGATACAAATATACAAGTATACAAGCAAGCAAACATATAGCAAACATAAATACAAACAAGATGGGCTTAACCCTCTTAGGGGAGGTCTCCCCAATGAAGGCTTCATTTCTGTCACACAGATAATCGAATATCAAGCTATTAATTAACTTGAATCACAAATCATGAAGTTCACCATCGAACTTTGGTTTATCCAAAGGAAAGGGTAAATATAGAAGAAAACCCTAAGTGCATTATGTAACAATGCAGTTAAGAGATCTAAGGTTCGGGGATTGGTTATACCTAGGGAAAGTGTTAGCATCCTAAGTATCTACAATACTCTACAGGAACCTCTTGCTAGTATTTGTGTTATGCTAAAGTGTGCTTGCTAAGAGAAATGTGCTAAGGTAAAGGTGTAAAGTATATACAAATTAAGTACAAAGTATTCTCTCCAAGACATCGCATCTCGTGCCTACGTATCCTGACGGGAATGAAATCAGAGCATCCGTAGTTCCCCTTAATAGGGGTGAGGAACTCTTGACTGTGGTTAAGGTTCGAGGGAAAAATTAAGTGCCAGCGGTGAGACACCTACATAAAGTGCGGCGACTCTAAACCTAAGGCTAGGTTAACCGGGAAAGTAGATGTCCATGGCAGAACAACCTACACAGAGTACGGCGACTCTAATCCTAAGGCTATAATAAAGGGAGAGGACCTAAAGCTAGGCTGAATATGACATGGCAGTCAACAAGGGGAATCGTTTCCTTGGTTATAACAAATTTTTTCCGTTATATACAATGACATGCTATGCTATGGACAAGAAAAAACTATGAAATGCTGACATGCCATGGACTCTAATACGATGATAATGATGGGATGATAAATGCAAAATGTAGACAAAGAAAGAAAATAAGGATAAAGTCAATACAATGAGTAACTACTCACTAGGGAGAGGCAACTGCACTGGGGATGCAACAGTCATCATCCATGAATGGAACTGGATGGAAAATAGTCAAAATATTCAGAAGATCATTGAATGAGGTGAGGATAATTTTGGGAAATACATTGGGGACATAGAAACAAA